CACCTAACTAGTCGCTGGGCGTAGCTTAAACTGACGGGTAGCATTTAAACATCAAAAGAAGGAATAACCATTGAACATCCACACAAAAAACAGAAAGAAAGAAAAGAGAAGAAAAGAAAAGAAAAGAAAAACGAAATAAAATGAGCCAACAAGGAGTGGTATTATTCGCGGGTCACCGACAAAATGCCTGCTTGCTTTTCCAAGTGCAGGACGGGGACTAACGGATCGGGTAGAACAGCAGCAGCTTGGGTTTCTATCCCGGTATCTAGCCAACTAGCTCTAACGAATCAGCAAGGCGGAGGTAAGGGGGAGAAGGGGAGGAGAGGCATCCATCGCTGGACCAGGAGGACAGGAGACGCAAGATGAGGTTGAAGTCGTGAGACGCAGGACGCCGTCGTTGAGTCGTTGGTTCGTTGGTTGGATCGAAGTCGGAGCTTGTCCAGATCCCACAGAGCCTCCAGGCAAAAGCGGAGCCGCGCCGCCAAGCAGTTTGCGCACGAGCGGCAGTCAGGCGGCTGGCTTATGTAATTCCGCCTGCGTCCCGAGACGTCAGTTGCCGTTTCTGGAAGGATGCCTTGCGGGGAGGATTTGTTGGTCTGCTTTGTTCTTTGGTCATGGATGGTAATAATGGTCATGAATGCCGGTGATAGTGATAACGGTGATAATGATGATGACGATTTCAGGTGATCCAACGCCTTTCGTCACCCCGGAGGAAAAGTGGATCATAGGGCCAAATCTAAGAATAAAAATAGCTAACTACTAACCAAGGATGACATCCGCTACTACAACGAGAAATGAAAGACATCGCCCCAGAAGACCCCTTCTTCCCAAAACAAAGAGAAAGAAATCATTATTAACCATGAACTGAAGAAAACACCTTGATGTCTTTCCCGTTCCTGTAACCCCGTACACTCCAAATCCTGGCGAAAAAGACGAGACGAAGTGAATTAGAACAAAAGTTTAGAGCCCAACGCCGTCCTCGAACTTCTTCAGCTTCGTCTCAAACTTTGAAACCCACTCAGACAATATCAACCCGGCAACATTCATCCCAGATAACGAACTAGTCTCCATCGTCGATATAAAGCTCTCCATCCCGTTGGTATACCATAGATTAGGCGCCAGTTTTATATCTTCAAACGTCACCCGCGGGTACAGGTATGGGTACGACTGCCACACTTTCTCATAGTACCAGCTGATGTGAGACTTGGAGATATCCGCTATGCGCTGGTCCGCAGTATAGCTGGTTTCACTGCTGCTGCTGCTGCTGTTGCCGAACATACGTGCCTCGTCGATTCCGAGAATGTCAGATACAAAATTTGCCTTCAGCGGCTTTGGCGAGAAAACCTTGTATACATAATAAGAGTCACCTGAAAATGCCATCCTGGAGAGAATTGGCTGGTGCCTCCACCTTTTTCAGCGTGCTGATGCTCCAGAATTGAGCCGGGCCGACACCATCAGTGCGGGCGCCTAGCTTGACGTTGGCGGGCAATGTTGTGAGAACAGCTTCGGGGACTGAGGAGCCGCTGGGCATTTTGAAATATTCCGGTGAGAGTTTATAGGGGGAGGCAAAAATGGTGACGTGCAGGTCAACGTAGCGCGGAGAATGAAGCGGCCGTTTTGGTGGGGGAGACAAAGAGATATTCGAGAATTGATATGGGTTCGCGATGACGACATGGTCAAATGTTTCTTGCTCGACAGAAAAGCTATTACCACCATCAACGCCTGCGTCCTGATAGCTGACGGTGTATGTATTATTGTCCGAAAGCTTAATGCTAG